CTTATGTTACAAGTTTCAATCTATTTTGTTAGAATGTTCATTCCAGTTTCATAAAAAAACTGTAAACAACATGGACATGAGTCGCATAAACCATGTTAAGTCAGATACAGCTGTTCTAACTGTTCATTGTGATATACTTTTAGCTCTTTTGACTGTTTAATTTTCTTTGTATAATTCCACTCATAGACTTTAACATCCATTTGTTTTTTCTCTAATAAACAAATTAATATTAATAACTTACTAATTCAAATATTTTAGATCTCAGAGTTGTGTATTAATGTTTAGCTGAAAAAATATGTCACATTTTATTTGTTTCATTTTATTTTCTAATAAGTATCATAATAAGTAGGGACACAATATGCCGCTCCAGAAATAGTTGAAATAAGACTTAGTGATGACAATGAAATTAACATACTGGTACCGTACTTAAATCATATCAATATCATTGACATCAACAATTTTAGCTCTTGTAAAAAAAAAATGTTGATAATTGAAACAAAAAGCCATACTTCCACTGTTGTAACTATGGGTCTAAATACAAAAAAAGCATACAAAAATTAATTGGAACCCTGCTGGTCGTAGGATGCATTGTGAGTCTTTGGGAAGTAAAGTTCCCTTGGGCAATTGAAGCAGCATTTACAAGTTTGAGTGTATGGCAAGCGCAATAACCAGCCAGCTTTAATTTTACCCAGCTAAGGCCAGAGCTGGGTAGACTTAGGGACACCCTCAAGGATCAGGAAAAAATACTAGCCTTAAACAGGATTAGATTCTGTTCTTATCGATGTAGGGCCTATATGCCCCTCCCTGTCTCTCACATGGCCGCCTGATGCAGACACCTCTCTGCATCATTACACTGTTGCACAGCATGTCAACTATTTCTGACAGAACATTTCTGGACTACATGATATATCATAGAGCTTTAAAAAAACTAAACGATATCCTATCAAGCTTTGACATCATTTAAAGATATCTCTACAGTGGGTGAAAGTGAGTCTACATGAAGAATACAGGTACCATTTTTATTACTGGTATAACATTTAATATGAAATACCAGAAAATTAGTTATGTCTAGGAGTAGGAGGTTTGACTGGTAACACTCTATTGGTCGAATAGACCCTATGTTGACCCCTAACAGAGCAGATGTAGGCACAATTAATTGTCCTATATCCAATATAGCCTATAGGCTATAGTTACGCCTATTAATTTTTTAAAATTTAACTTGTGCATACCACTCATACCGGTAGCTTCGGTTTTGAGATGTGTTTGTGCCATTCTCATTAACGATCGATATATCCTACACTACTTAAAACTACACCCCCACCCTGGCTTGGAATGTGATCCTAATTATTTCTAGAAATTTGCGTAATTATGGGAAAATTTCTGTCTAACAATAACGCTCGGCATTATTCGCAGATTTCGGTCTGCCGATAACGCTCAACATTATTCACAGTTTCACAGAGCTGTGTGGATAACGCTTCCCTAATGGAAATGTGAAATAATGTATAATAATTTTTGAATAAAAGTTTTTTAAGCTAATTCAGATTGATCAGGTTTAGGGATACATTTTAGGTTTAGGGATACATTTAGGGTTCAGGTTAGGTTTAGGGATACATTTAGGACATAAGTTCGTGGGTCACCGATAACCAAGATGGCGGCCGCGGGCTGATTTCTCCTAATTGTTTTTTATTCAAAAGAACATTTGTTTTATGGGAAGTGTGAAGAATAATAATTTTTGCGGTGAATTAAAATATCCACTTCTGATACCGGGTCCGAATAGTCGCAGACAAACTTTTCATTACAATTACAGATAAGACAGTAGCCTATTTATTTGCCGCCAAAAAGAAGCAACTTTGATCTTGAATCTTGATTGATGTCATGTTAATGATTATAGAACTATATTATAAAATAGAATTAAAAAAACAATAAAATTATAAACATAAACGTATTCTTACTTGCTTTTAGTTTTAGCTGTACGTCACAATGTTCGTGTCTTTTCAACGCCACATAAAATATGTTTTCAAAATATGTCAAATTTCTCGATTGATCATAATGGCTCTAAGATGGCTAACCAACAGGAAGTATCCGTCATAACCAGGGCTGCCACTCACATTTTTAAAATTTCCCAAGATTTGGTGAACAAATTTTTCAAGATTTCCCAAGATCATAAAAATATATAAGAGTTTTTTTAAAAAAGGGTTTTTCTATGTAATTAATGTAATTATAGATTGAATTAATGCCCCTGAAAAACATGGTACATTAATTGTTTGAAATTTATTGAAAAAGACATTTTTAAAAATGTTTATCACATAAAAGAAACAACAATTTGTTTTTTTTAAAATAATTTATAATCCAAAATATCAATACCCACTGAAGTTAGGCTACTAAATATTACCTCCGAATTCTCTGGTAAAAATATCATCTACAATACATGTGTAATAGAAGTCACTTGGAAACAAAGCTTACAAGGCTAATCAACACAGAATTCCTTTTACAAGGGCAAAAGGTTCTTCATCAAAAAATGATTTTTCTTATTGTAAGTCTGTTGATTAGAAGTGGGGTTTGCAAAGCAATGAAGCAAAATTTATTAATTATAATTGTAGTTAAAATGGATTGATATTATTATGAAAACAATAAGTATTTTTATTTTTTTCTTGTAAATTTATATCATAACGATTTTTTCAACAAAATAACATACTTTTAAATGTATGGTTCATTTATAATCCTACAACGTAGGCCTATACTTTTAATGGCTTAGTTACCTGTGTTTCAATCCACAAATATTTTTTTCCAATTGATGAAAATTAGGCTGGATTTTTTACAGATGCATTATATTTTGAATACATTGTATGAGTAATTGAAATAATCAAATTTTACTATGGTATGGATCCTTGAATGAACACTACTATCGTTCACTCTTCGGCTTGTACTGTTTTTCGTATGGTTGCTAATGTCTAATAAATAGCCTAATGATAAAGTTTCCGAGCCTACCCCCCCTCCCCTCTTTAATAAACAGTCAAAACCTGGATGTAATTTGTAAATCTTCAATTTTTTTTAAAAAATAGAAGAGAAAATTGAATTTTTCTTTAATTATTAACTTTGTAACAATTCGCAATAATAATAACTTTAATATCAGGAGAGTTTTTATTTATTTGATGAGTGGATTTAAAATTTAAACCAGAAAAGAAAATTAAAACAATTAATTTTTTGCTTTTGTTACTTTAAAAATTATTTTGCTTTATTTTCACTTTATTTTTTATCACATATTGTTGCGTTTTTTCGAAAAATATAATAAAATTTTCCCACCAGTTAAGATTTCCCAAGGTTTTGCCTGATTTTCAAAATTATTCCCCAGATCCCAAGGGGGGTCGTGAATTCCCAAGATCTTGTGAAATTTCCCAAGGTGTGGTAGCACTGGTCATAACCTTCACGTGACTTTTTAATAGCCACGGTTGTGTTATATGGAAAAAAGTTTTCACGCCGTCACCAAATTTGTAAAAAGGGGGATAGCCCTGTTAATGCAATATATGAATGGCTAGCTTCCCCTGTAAGGTTACATTTTTATAGTAACCACTTTTTACGAAATAATAAGAAAATAGAGTTACGTAAATATTGCAACATGACCGTGAAATATTCAGTACAGTATTTGATATCTTTACATTACTGATTATATGCCATTTACAAACATAGCAAACATTCTTTTTTATCTATGAGATGTGTGGGTCTTGATTTTAACTAGACTCATGGTTCAAGTAGTTGAAGTACTAACGGCAACAGGTGCAATCGTTACTTAATCGTTCTATTTTTTTTTTTTTAGTGATTTAATTTAGTGGATTAAAATTAAATTAATCAATTTAACTTCAATTATTTAAATATTTTAATTATCGTGCCAAAATTCATTTCTTTTTTTTTTCTTTTTTTTTTTTTGAGTATGTCACTTCACTGTGTCATCTGTATTTTAATTTAGTAATGACTACTCTACTCTAGTAATTTTTATTATTAAAATTAAAATAAAGGATTGTTTGCTTAGTCCCATAGCCATAATTAATTATAATATTATAAACTTATATTAACTAATACTAGTAACACTTTGGACTTTGTTGGTAATTAGGAGCATATTGGCATATATTCTATATTAATGAAATAAAAAAATATAGAGAAATCATACTATTAGGCAGGCATGATTCTGACTATTTGTAATTTTAATTAGTAAATTTAGTAGATAGAAAGGTAGGTAGTAGACTATTATTACTATTAAATTATTATTACTATATTTATTTTTTAAAAAAGATCTCATTGTAGCCTTAAGTTAGTCTAGTTGTTTTCTTTTAATTAAATATGGTTATTATTATATAATTATTGTGATAAAAATTAAAGAAATGTTTTTTTCCACCTCCTCAGTGTCAGGATCCCTAGAGTAGAACTATGGATGAAACAAAATTAAAGAAGGAAGAGGAAAAAAAGCCTTTGTTGCTAACTTCTGGTAGTAATACATTAAAACATTTTCTTTACAATATGTTGAGAATTTTTTCAATATGATAAGACCTTAACTTAAACTTAAATAATGGTGGAAAAATTCAACATCTAGATAATATCATGAAAATATAAACAAAAATCCATTTTTATTTTGATTAAAGATAGTGCCAGATATGGTTGGTACAATCAGCAATCAGTAACAAGCTCTGTCTGTGAAGATCAGTCTGATCAGATCACCACTTCTTCAAAATCTGAAAGTGCAAGTTCAAAATGTCGACCTAATGAAGATGTTGTAAATGGGGATGAAGAAAACAAGAGGTTTACAATCCGTCACCTGCCACGAAGGAAAAAGCTAGTAGTCGTTTTTCTAGTCCTTTCCAACTTCTTTGTTGGATGTGGGTTTTCTCTTCTTGCGCCATTCTTCCCCCAAGAGGTAATCATTATCAAGTACTTTTAATGTTTGTTTCTCATTTTAGAAAGTATAAAGCTTCTTGTCGTTGGTTAATTTTTTATAATGAAATAATTGTATCTAATCAAAAAGTGCTTTTGCAAACACATTACAGGTAATTTTAATTTGGTTCAGATAAATGCAATGCATCTATATATATGGCATCCTTCCGTCTTCGTGAGACGATGGAGTAGCTATATAGTTCTACACTTTGACTAGTGGCTCACTAGGCCAATCCTAGAATGGCAATCATGGCAGCATCTCTCGCAGGAGAATATTTTAAGTTGTAACTTTATTTTCTAAATCAGGTACAAAATGGAAAAAAAAATCTGTCATAATTACTTTTGCTATAGGTCATATTCACATGTTAAAGACAGGCTTTTCTCACAAAGTTCATTTCCACAGGCAGAAAAGAAAGGTGTTTCCAACACAGTGACGGGTCTAATCTTCAGCTCTTTTGAGTTTGTGATCTTTGTTTCCTCTCCAATTTTAGGCAACTATGTAAGTCAATTGAAAGAAATAATGGAAACCGTAAACAAACAATTTTATATATGGGATTTTGGGCAAATTATAAAAAATAACATTCCATTATTTCATCAAAACTTTGGATGCATTCCATAAGACTCTAACTTTTATTATATAAATCAAAATTTATAGAGAACCAAATGAAATTTCAGTTACAATAACAGAAAATGAAAGGAAAATAAAATCCTTTTACACCATTTTAATTATGTAATAAATATTAAATCTTTCTGATTAATTTCATTGAGGACAGTACTCAATTAGATATAATGTTATTTATCTAGGGTTGACCACTAATTTTAATTGTTTGCCATTTTTAATTCTTACTTAATAATTTTCTGAATCAGCTGATCAAATGACAAAAGTTCTACCGTTAGAATTTGTATATAATGTATTACAAGCCCAACATTTTGATACCCAGTGCCCTAACTATTAATCTCTCCCAGCTGCAGTAGTTGGTTTTAGTTGGTTTTATATCTAAAGAATTTTCCGTCTCAAATAAGTGTTGAATTTGTGTCATATACAGGGGAAACAACACTTTACAATTACCTCCTAAATATGGAGTTTTCTTATTTCCCTTGAAATGTTTTTTTAGGTGTTGAATTCTGATTAGTCAAACAGAGTTTGCACATTATTTTGATTAGGCTTTAGCTGTGAGTTGCTATCAATGCAGATATGAGTGTAGCAAAGGAAAAAACATTTCAAAATTCAACGAACATTTTCCATCCAGTTTATGCTTTTTAGTACAGATGATTTTATTCTTCGAAAATATAATCGTTTAACATCCATGTTTTTGTAAAAATCATTAGGAGTTTAAAAAAAAAATAAATATTTATCTATTAAATCTTTACAAAATATATTTATAGCTGAAATGTAATTAAGTTCAAATTTAATTTTAAATGTATCATTTACATTTTTACCTAATTATCTTGGGATAAAAATTTAAATACATAAAAAAAAAGGAGGATTAATTTATTGGTTAATATTTTAAAATGTGAATGTTATATTTTCTGTCCTTTTTTTTAAACTCTTATTTCTGCCTAAGGCTGTATCATCAGTTTATTGTAAAATATATTGTCTTAAGTTTAAAAAAACCATTAAAACAAAATTACTCTAAAAACTAAGATACTTGCATACAATTTTCACATACACTTCAGCAGAAACAGAAACACACATTGCTTCTACCTGACATTATTTTCTAATTTTAAGGTTGATTTGCTCACACTTCCATTCAGACATCACAATAATCATTTCAGCTGACACGGATAGGCCCCAAGTTCATGTTTGTTGTGGGAATGTTGGTAGGTGGATTCTGTGCCATTCTGTTTGGGTAAGTTGGTACAAAACAGAGACCATGACATGGTTCACTTAATATATTTATGTTCTATTACCTCAGTAAATATTAACCAAACATAGCGATCATCAACAGAGATTCAAAAGTTATTAAACTGACCATACAAATATTTTGACAGGTGTAAATTACTTGGTGTAAATTTGATTAACGTTTGAGCTAAATTGCGTTTGTTTCAGGACCCTAGATAAATGCCCACCAGGGACTCCTTTCATTATTGTATGCTTTGCCTGTCGCTGCATTGAAGCCCTAGGACTCTCTGCATTCATCACTGCAGGATTTGCCATTATCTCAAATGAGTTTCCTAATCATGTTGCAACAGTCTTTGTAAGTACAGCAATGAGGAGGATATGACTAGTCTTTGGAGCATGAACAGTAAAAAATGTACGATCCAAAATTCCCCTTATCATCAATACAAAAGCTATACAGAGATAAAGTTTATAACAGTTTTTGACTCCGTGGGTCAAATTTTTTTCGTCCGCAAAGCCGAGGGCTGTGCATTGCATCTGAAAAGAAAAATTTTGAAAATAAGTTTTTCAGAAAATTATTCAAATTATTATTACTTCTTACCTTATGCATAAAGAAACATATCTAATCGCATTATTGGCCCATCAATAATATTAAAAGAAAGCTAATAAAAACTATATCACTTATTTAATAAGAGATTTTGCTTTAAATTGTTCTTGCAATTTTCTTAATTTAAGGTAGTTTTCAGTAGCTGCTACTCTCATTCCATCCATCCCTGTTGTGCTACAGCCCTTGTAGGGCTTCGGCCTGCCGCACCACATCCTTCCACTCAGTCCTAATTGATGCTTTTACTTCTCCATGCTTTGATTCCGAGCTGCTGTAGATCCTTCTCCACATCATCCATCCATCTAAGCCTAGGCCTGTCTTTGAGCCCTTTTCCTTGGAGGTTTTGGTGGTGCATTCTCTTCACTTTTCCATCATTTGGCATTCTTTCTATGTGTCCAGCCCAGTGTAGCCAGCCCTTTTTTATAAATTTCTGCTACTAGTGTGTGATCCTGATAAAGACTATACAATTCCTCGTTGGTTTGGATCCTCCAGTAATTATACCCGACTCCCCACCATGCCTCCCATGTGCAAGCAGAGAAAATAAGAAGATAGTATCCAATTTCATGTCACTCCATGTTCCCGAATTGGTGCTCTGTTGATGTGCTTAACATAAATATCTACTTCCTGTCAAGCCATCCCACTCTTTAGATTTTTCTGCCCTCCCCCTTTTCCATGTTGCAACTTCTCCTGAGCTCGTGTGTGATTTCCAAACGATACTAAACCAATAAATGTTATTTGAAAATATTTTTACCCTAAAATTTAATTTTTACCGACATCATACAAATTTCTCCAGCTCTGGCTGGCCTTTTAAAATCAGTTCTCAGGCCTCATGTGACCAGCAGGTGGGACAGCACTGGTTGGAAGAGTTTAGCTTGAATAATACTTATTTTTATATTAATGATATTTTTGCATGCATCTTTGTAGAATCTGTTTCTCTATTTCAAATGACCATTTTACTTTGTTTCATGCATGAAAAAAATAAGAACAACTGCAGCACTTGATAAATTGTCTTGTAAAAAAACATTGGTCTACAGATCATAAACCTGATCACACATATAGGAATATGTAAAACTGTCCAAATGAAATTATTATTTATTTTCCACTTATTTTATTTTAAGGCACTTTTGGAAACAGCTGACGGCATTGGTCTTATGGCGGGCCCTGCCATGGGTGGTGCCTTGTATGAGGTGAGACAGTCACTCAATGAATCACTTACTGAGACAACTGCAGTCTAATTGCTCAATTTATATAATATAGAGAGCAGGATATGTTACAGCTGTAACAACACAAGGCAATAAAACAAGCATTTCGGCTGAATTCTGTCCTAAGTGAATACAATGATAAAGAAAATCAGACCAAAAAAAATATGAACATTTTGGCTGACCACCTTCCTAAGTGAACTCAACAAGAAAGAACACAAGAAAATCAGACCAAAAAATTTAGCTTAGCAAGTAACTTGACATGAAGTTGTTTGTAAGCCTCACATGAGAACTTTGCCTTTGACTACATAAGAATTGTAAGAATTTTGGTAATGGGGTTACTAAGAAATGTCAATGCTTCAAAATATAATTATTAAAAAAATCAAAATTTCCCTCCATTCTATTTAATGCTGCTCATGTGCATGCAAAGCTGGAGATGGACACAGATTAAAAAAAAAATTGAAATATCTTCTACTAGTACTCTTTAAACCAGCATTTCCCAAAATTTTAAGTTTAGTGGACTGGTGGACATAAAATTATACTTTATTTCATCATAAATATTCATGATCCACAGACTGGCAATTAAAGCTCACATACCATTGCCGATCTGCGGATCACCATTTGGAGTATGCTGCTCTAAACAATTAGTAACATGAACAATTTGTTAATTCTCCTTAGCTTGGAGGGTTTGGTTTGCCCTTCTTTGTGATTGGATCTCTGATACTGGCAACTGGAGTATCCATGCTTTTATTTCTACCTCAACCCCAGAGTAAGTGCCCATTCATCAAAGTTCTTTCCCATTTATCAAATCTCTATCCCGTTCATCAAATCTCTTGCACATTCATCAAGTTTCTTGCCCATTGTCTTGCCCATTCATCAAGTCTCTTACCCATTCAACAAATCTGTTTCCCATTCATTTAATCTCTATCCCATTTATCAAATTTCTTTCCTAGTCATCAAATATCTTGCCCATTCATCAAATCTCTTGCCCATTTATCAAATCTCTTGCCCCTTCATCTAATCTCTAACCCATACATCAAATCTTTTTCCCATTCATCAATTCTTTTACCCATTCATCAAATCTCTTGCCCATTCAACGAATCTCTTGCCCATTTAACAAATCTCTTGCCCATTCAACAAATCTCTATCCCATTCATCAAATAACTTGCCCATTCATCAAATCTCTTTCCCGTTCAACAAATCTCTTACCCATAAGTTGATCATCAAATCTTTTACCCATAAGTTGATCATCAAATCACTTGCACATTCCTCTTTCTCATTGATCAAATATCTGGCCCGTTCATCATTCCCCTTTCCCTTTCGTCAAAATTTCTTCCATGGGCTCATCATATTTGTACAGATCAGTTTTTGGAGTGTCTGTCACTAATTTTTTTTCAGCTAATATATTTCTACAAAGACACTTTCCTAGCTTTTTTACTGGGCTATTCTATTTCCTACTATTCAAATATCTTGAACTAGAGGCAGGATAATATCTAAGAAATATATTCACCTTATTTAATACTTTCCCCAGATAGACATGAAGAGAGAAAAGTCAGCATCTTCTCTCTATTAAAAAGTCCCATGATATGGTTCACTGGCCAGGCCATTGTTGTGGCTTCTATAGGAATTCTGTTTTTAGATCCTACCTTATCCAAACATTTACAACAGGTAAGTTCTAGATTTTTTTATTTGTGTTCCATCAACACTGTCAATTCTTAGTTACCTGGTGAGGGGCTACCCGATAAAGGAGTGGATGGCAAAGAACTAACTGATTTTTCTACACATCTACATGCTAAGAAATGAATTTTTTTAATAATACCTAGTAATAGTGAAAACCAGAAATGAAATTATTAAAAATTTATTTTGTATGAGAACTAGCTAATGTCTATGAGCAGTAGCTTATGTATAGCTCCTGAGTGCTGAAAAAATTGAACTCCAACTATCTCCTCCTCCCCCCCCCCCAATCCCCCCTAAAAAAATTAATATAAATATATTATATGTATTCTATATAATATATTATATAATTCTATTAAACATTACATTTTGTGCTCTCATTTTTTCCTTCCAGTTTGACTTATCCACTGCTGTTATAGGTCTGATATTTGTCATCTCTCCTGGCCTGTATGGCCTCACATCACCTATATGGGGTTATATCAGTGACTCCAAGGTATTTGGGGCTAACTTGATATATTGGTATGGGATTTCATGTTTATATTGATTTTCAAATAATTTCCGTCATGTCAGACACATTTTTTCTTGAGGTCTCCACACTTCACAAAGATGGTTTTAATTGTCACAGAAATTATCTTAACTTATTTATTATTAGTCTGTAATTAAATAATGTGATTTAGATTATAAACTGTTTTGATCTATGAGCTATTTCGCCAATCTTTAAATAATTATAATGCATATATAAATAAATGCATTGCAAATATTCTTACGACCAAAAAGAATCAGAAATTATGTATACATGTTTGTGGTTTGATTACATAAGGATTTCATTAATTTAAATCAACCCAAACTTGAAAATTCGAGCTAAAATGAAAATAATATATATAGTATATTTATGATGCGGTCTTTAATTTATGGTAGAACATGGCTATTTATATATCTGAATATCATGGCCATCATTGTTAATGACCCTTGGTTCTCTTTTTATTTTCTAGAAATTACGTGGCTCTTTGATATTCCTAGGGAACCTGATGTGTGGAATAGCATTTCTATTTATAGGTCCTAGTCCTTATCTTCCTTTCCTTCCAGAGTGAGTGAAAGTTGCACATTCAAGATGTAAAATGAAATTGTAAAATTTATTTCGTTGACTGTCATAAAAAATATGTTAATTCCAATTGTAAAATTTATATGAACACAATTTTAAAAAAAGTCTATTTTTTTAAAGCAATTTTTTTACTTAGCAATGTGACTATATGAGCTGGATGGGGGGCATACTTTCTGAAATATTAATTTTTTTTTAATGACTTTAATTTTCTATGAATTCATTTTACACTGAGATAAATCATGTTTATTTCCTAAAGCATTGTTTCTTTTTTTTTTGTTGTCAGTGAGCTCTGGGTTATAATAGTTGGGCTTGTCATCGTGGGAATCTTCATTTCTCTGGCTGTCGTCCCTACCATGAACTGTTTACTGATAGGTGCCACGTGAGTAGATCATGTTTGACGTTATTGATTACAGACACAAATTAACGTTTGCTTAAAAAGTGGCTTCTTATATTAATTTGTTAGTCTTTCCCTTAGCAGGAATACAGTTCGTTGAACGTTTCCCTTTCACTTTATTAGTGCATTGTATTTCACTTTTTTTTAATAAATGGTTCTTTATTCCTTCCAGTGAGCTTGGTTTTGAAGACAACTTAGATACGTATGGAGTCATTGCTGGCTTGTTTAATTCAATATTTTGTTTGGGGTGAGTTCAAAATAGCATTGCATTATTAATGTTTTTTTTTATTTACAGATTTATGTTAAGAATTAGCTCGGCCAATCAGAATGCATTATTACAAGTCAAACATGATTAATGGCAAGATAAAGTATTTCAAGTTGCATGCTGTTAGTAATATTCTTCATGTTCATCATTTCAATAAGACCTTGATAATCCAGATTAATTTTAGTTTGACCCCATCCTTATTAATGATTTATCAGGTTTTTGAATTAGCATACAAATATGTTGTAAATATTGAGCTCATGGCTTACCATATGACTCGTGAAAGGCTACTGTAATGGCGGCAGCTTGAACATCTCCTTTTTAGTGATAATTGTTTGTCATTTTTAGAGATGCATTCACTATTAATCACGTTGCGATTTTCACCCCACTGATTTTTTCTTCATTGTACCGTTATTTATGTTAGGATGTTGCGCACATTTTAGACCCTGAATTATTATTTTGAGAAAGTACCCTTGCGCTTTAATAGTTAATGAGTATTAATTTAATGACACAAATAGAGACTGCCATGGTAGTATTATTATTTTAACTTCATACTTATTAATGAAATGTTCGTCTTTCTGTCCTGTAGGAGTAAGAAATGAATATCTGACAAAGTATTGAACTAAAAGTGGCAAGCTATAAATATACTTTTACTAATCTACTCTTTACTTGTCTTACTGAGACATTTTGTAAGATTTCAAGCATATGTTGTATTCCATTGATGTGAGGCCAGGATTAAATTACAACCACCATGAACCCATCCCTCAACTGTCAAGTGGGAAAATAACTTCCGTGCTATTTTATCATGTTATAAACCCACTATCGCCACTATTGGAAGAGAATAATAGTATCATTCATATTTATTGTTGAAATACCCAGTAGATACCCAGTAAATACCCAGTAGAGAAACTTACATTAAATGTTACATCACCTTGTGTTATAATATATAGAGGCTAGAAATTTGTTTTTTCTATGGCTGTTGAGAGGGTGCCCAACCCCTAGACAACCTGCCATGCAATATCCAATCTTGACTTTCTACTTACGGATTATGGACATGAACTTTTTTTTAAGTAGAAAAACCAGAAACATATTTGTTGTTGAATACTTCATGCATCCATAATGGTCTAGTTCTTTCATATATCATTTTCATATTATTTGTCCTTTCCATTTACAAAACTCCTTTCATCTTTCCAGGTCATTCACTGGGCCCATGTTAGGGGGTATTTTAATAGAAGAGCTCGGATTCAGGTACGGAGCCACTGTTATAAGTGGAATCTACTTTTTTGTGGTAAGTCTGTGGGTCAAATCTAGACAAGACTTTAGGACTAGTTGATTGCACTTTCTGTGTGCATGTCAGGGATAATAGTTATCACTGAATTTTTAACATTTCCTCACACATCATCCTCACCCTTAAATTTCAAGAGAGAAAATCGTGGATCATTAGAAAAGAAACACTTTTATGATTGCAAAAGAAGTACCTAATCAAATATAGAGTGATATGCTCTACCATGTACTTTGCCCTTCTGTAACTCTGTGCTGTACTTGGGGTTCAGCTTTGTGCTTTACTGGGTTTGCAGCACTGCTCTACTGGGAGTACAACACTGATCTACTGGGTGAACATTAATATGTTCTACAAGGTGTGCAGAAATGTGCTCTAATGTGTGTGCAGCACTGTGCTCCACTTGGTGTGCAGCAATGCACTGAGCTACACTTGGTGTGAATACTTATGCAGTTTTGGCTCTACTTCTGCTTGGTGTCTATCATGCACAATCACAATTCCCAATAAATTTTGTACAGGTAATCGAAGTTTCAAAAGTATATTGTTTAGAAAATTTGAAATATGAACGATATTTTTTTAATCTTTCTGGATTTTTTCAAGTAATATTTATTTTACTTTTTATATCCAGATGTTTAGCTGCGGGTCCTATTTTTTATATCGCTTTTTAAGTGAAAGGTCAACAAAACCAGGCATTCTCAGTGTCCATTATGAGAGCATCAAATCAGCAGACGACGATGCCAACAACCTGACAGAAGACAGCCCAGTAGTTTGACAAGTGTACATGCCACTATTATTAATGTTAGAGATATTCCTAAGATACTTTTTTTTACCATCATAATTTGTTTCTAACTTATAATGTATCCAAAATTTATGTGTTGTGCTGTACTGATCTCAATTTTTAAACCTTTTAAAATTAAGCATGTTAAGTTAAAAATGTATAAGTAAGAAGGCCTGTTTATGTTTGATGATAAAATCTCATATTGCTAAAACACACAAAATGGCACTCGAAATATTCAATGGGATTCATTTACATAAGCTACATACAACTAAACTGTTTTAATATTCAGGTAGGTCTACTTCTGGATTTGGAGTGGATTATTACCTCAAATTTTAGCACAAATTTACAAATTATACTACCGCTTTTCAATGATTTATTAAGTCCTCATGCACCTACAGCAGTCAGTAGGTAAGCAAAGCCATTACTTTATTGGGTGCTTCTGTGGGAGCTGTCTGCGGTATATATTCGGCAGATTTTTCTCTATAGTAGTTCTACAGGTTTTTGGGGGTTTTTCCGAGCTTTCATGTTCCTATTGCTGTTGTGGAAAGTAAGCTTTCTTTATTGATAACTATTAATTATACTTATAATCTTAATCTATATATATAACTAACTATAACTTTTTAGCCATTTAGTTTTAAAAAAATATACCTCAACTTTTTATAGAGCAGGAGCATAAGTCCAGTGGGCTTCTACTTAAAACTGTATTTTATAGACCTGGTACTGGTCATGAATTTAAAAAAAACCACAATAATTTGCACTATCTTATCAGTTTACAAATATTTTTATTTTCCTTACCAATGGCATATTCTAGCAAATTGATTGACCAACTATTTATTTTAAAACACAGTAATCATCGCTTATAAAATGTACATATTTAAATATTTTAGCAGTAATGTAAGTAAATGGTTAATGTGTGTACCTTAAGAGTAGTATGAAATAACAAGTGTATTCTTTGTCCTTCTTGTCAACTTCAACAGAATTGCTGTAATTTTTTTTAAAAAGAGTTTACATTTTTTGTATTTGTATCAAGTACAAATAATTTGTTAAATTTAAAAGATAAAATTGGACATTGTAACTTTTCTCTATTCTGATATCACTGTTACTGTTACTATTGTAACTTGTCATGACCTGAGCGGATATCTTAGTGAATATCAGATAGGGGTTAACTACTAATTATTTCTCACATACTTGTGTACTAATACGAAGCCCAAGTCTTCTCATATAAAATTCTTATTTTTATATAAACACTACACAGAATAATATTCACATCAAAGACCGTAATACATCCATCTCTGTTTATAAAATGTGATGTCACACATTCATGGTATCCTTCTTTTTTTTACTCGTGAAACAAAGTCTTCGCAACTGGTTTTCCATCCATTACAATATGGCCGCTCAAGAAGTTCTTTACTCTCTATAATTATATATATCAATCAATACCCTGACATGAAATAGTGTTTTTCACTCAGCATCAAATGATCATCATATATCATAATGTTACAGACATTCTGTTAAAACAACTTTTAATTTAGATGCAACAAAAGATTTTTTTAAGGATTCCAATTTTTGACAGCATAACAGACAGCTGTGTTTTACCTTGAACCAATTATTTTAAGATAGCATTTACTTGTAGAGAAAAATAATTCAAGTCACTTGTTGTGTTCAATGTTGATGTAGCAGATTCATTTTTAATGCTTGTAATCTTATTTTTATATGATTTTTGCCCTGTGACGTAGTTATAAATTGTAAATCTCTAGCAGCATTTACTGGTCACTCAACGACATTAAAATTATTTTTGCATGGGCTTTCAATATATTTACGATTTGAATTGTCCTTGAGAACATTTTGTATAACACCTGTAGTTTTAATTTGTTTTTTACTTGCCATATCCTGATATCATGCCATGTAGTGACATTATACCATATTCTATATATGCCAACCTGTACGGTTTCCGCACTTTGAATAGTTTTTTTAAAACTTAAAACTTTGTACAGCTGTACAGTATTGTCGGGGCTTTTTTCCGGATTTAGAAAAAACAATTTATCACCACACACAAGTTCATAAACAGCAGTGCAATAAATTAACCTTTGTCACAAGGAAGCTTCAACCCTATTTGTCCGAAATTGCCTTTTGCCCATAGTTTTGGATTGGTAGGCCATCTAATTATTGATACTGAGCGCCGGAATCATTGATTTCTCTTGTTGATAGACAGTGTTGTACGGCAGTAACCACAGTGGGTTAGGTTTTAACTCTTAGCGTTGTCAATAAGTGACTGCAAGTGCTCATTTCATTTCTATTAAATAATCAAATATTTTTAATATTACCAACAATGAACAGCTCTAGTGTTACCATTAGGCTATTTATTACTAGGGCATGAATTATGTTAATGCGTCAACACTTTCTAAACCTTAAGCTGGTGCCACCTTTATTAAGTTAATAGATTATTTTGAGCTGAAATCAGTGAGATCTGTAAATCATCTTCTTTTTTATTGATTGTTTTAATTTCACTCCAGCTGCAAACTTACAATTTCAATTAAAGTGGCAAACCTATCTACAAAAAAGAAAGGAAGTTAGAATTAGTTTACACAAAGTTGGATTCTGTTTTTAAGCGAGTGGCCGAGCACAAACCAAATACACTTGAATTTTGGATGTTTTATCAATCAATTGATGCGGCAAACTGAGATTTCTCGATCACTCCATTATTTTTAAAATGTTGTCTGGCCTTGCCTCACAGCAATGCAGACTGTGAGAGATCTTTCTCAATGTTAAAGAAATCTCATCTCTTTTACAGTGCAAAATTAACAATGACTCCTATTATTTGGGTTTTCGAACTAATTCAGAAATTATCAAGAAGGCAAAGTTTAGATGCATTCAAAAAAGTTGATAATTAAATTTTAAAAGTTATTAATTGTACTTTGAGACCCCGGTAAGATAAAAGAAGATAAGATTCTTTTATTGATCCAAATAAATGGAAACAATAAATATGTACACAGTAATAAAAAAAAAATTCAGCACATACATAAATATTCTTAAAAAGCCAAACATTTTTTAAGCTAGAACTGTTTAAACACAAAACATCAAAGTATTTCTCAAGCGCAAAAATTAGCCATCATGTGCCATGGAACTTCACTCAGTTTCTGACAATGTTGGCTTTTAGAGTGATTATTTAGATTTTTTTGGTTAACTGCATGGAGTTTATGCTGAAAAATTTTGTAGATGGGGAAGAAATGAATTTATTTCTTTTGGTCCTTACTTTGAGGGAAAGAATTTGAGCTGATCTTAGGTATCTGTGATGAAGAGGGTGGGATGCATCATCCAAAATATTTTTAGTTTTACTAATGCACATTGCTTCAAATAGTTCTTCAAGTGAAGGTAGTTTTGTTAGTCTGTCTTTTAGTTGGTTTCTTGATAAGTTATTTTAATCAATGTTCGATGAGAAGAGATGGATTCCCACACAAGTACTAAATGCTGAAGCCCAGTAGACTTCCAGGTGTTACAATTTAAAATATTTTAATTGTTTTCACCAAAATTCTGTAATTTGTTAAGAAAGAAAAATCTTTGGTTAACTTTTCATGTAGAATGTGGGAGAGGACGTACCTCGTCATAACAATAGAGGTAAGTTGCGACAGGACGTAAGTCATTATTACAATAAAGGTAAGTATGACAGGGCGTAATTTGTTATTACAAAAGAGGTAAGTGTGACAGGAAGCAAGTTGCTATTACAAAAGAAGTAAGTTGCGACAGGAGGGAAGTCATTATTACAATAAAGGTAAGTATGACAGGGCGTAATTTGTTATTACAATAGAGGTAAGTGTGACAGGAAGCAAGTCGCTATTACAATAGAAGTAAGTTGCGACAGGAGGGAAGTCATTATTACAAGTGACTTTGTTTCTCTTTGCAGTCGGTATGATTTCTGCAGTTTTCCATAACTTTGGTATTGTATGAGTTTCGTAAGATTGATTAAATACGTAGGAACATTTGTATTAACTATTAACAAATAATCGGATTTTAATATTTTTCTGTAACTTTTTTGAGTGCATATTTTGCACAGTTTTTCATCCGACAAGTTGGCTTTTATGCATATTCTGACTTTACCTAACTATTTACTGAACTGTTTTGTTATTAAAAATCAATGTGTTTTGCAATTGAAATAAAAGATGTACATTGTATTTTATCTGTGGATATTTCTTTTTATCCACTATTGATTACAACCCTGTTTTCATTGACTTAATATATCTAGTATTTAGATACCTTTAGATCAAATTATGGGTAATTATATTTTTCACTTGTGAACCTATGAATTTAAAATATTCTTTAAAAAAATTCAGCAAGATGAAAGGAATATTTTGATTTGGCTTCCTCTGAGACATACACACACTCTGGCTGGCAACCCACCAAATCTTACTTAAATTAAGTAAAACGGTTGCTTGACCTAATTTTACAAAAAAAATTGATTGTCATTGTGACTAATAAAATATCAACGTATATTGACATATACATATATTTTATGTGATGTTTGGGTAAAGAGCCCTACAAATTAAAATATTAAAAAATGGATTTTATTTAAGGATGTGTTGTTTTTTTCTGTTAATGTTTTATTCAACTTCTGTTACCGGTACATCTAAAAAGCTGTCAAATTAAATGAACAATTTGGGTCCGTGCTGTCATACCCATGCTTAATTGCAAACAGGCCCTTTCACTGCTCGTGAGACAAGGTCTAAAAGTCCAATTTCAATATTTTAAAAGTTATTTTTTAAAATTTTAAGCAGTGATGAATGAAAATTGGCTTTTATTTGAAGTGTTTCTTTTTTTTTTTTTTTTTTTTTTTTTCCTTTTTTAAAAAAAAAAGGTAATCCAATAAAAAAAAATTTTTTTTTTTTTTTTAATTTTTTTTTTTTTTTTTATGAATTTTTTTTTTTTTTTTTTTTTTTTTTTTTTTTTTTTTTTTTTTTTTTTTTTCCTTCTTTAAAAAAAAGAGGTAGTCCAATAAAAAAAAATGAGGCCTATA